GATGATGAGGCTGAGAGGGAGGATCACAACGTGGCGTGGGGCTGATGAGGTAGAGGAAAAGAAGGGTGGAGATGAGTAGAGGAGAGGAGTGTGATGAGGGTAAGGGGTGGGACGGGTGGTGGGGGCGGTGATGAGTAGAGGGGGCGTGGGGGTTGAAGTAGAAGGGAGGGGAGAAGGGAGGGGTGTGGAGGGTGATGAGGGAGAGGGGAGGGGGGAGGTGATGAGGGGGGGAGATGGGGGTGCATCCTCCCCTTGCAAGTGATGGTGTGACGCCACATCCACAGAGACCTCTGAGGGTGGGGAGGTGCCAAGTAATGAAGCCACCTGAATAAGCCAGGTGTCTAATACGTCTCCCCAGCCAGGTACTGAATGGCCTGGCCCCTCGAACACATGGAAAAGTGGCCTGGGGCCTCCCACTGATGTTTGAAGATCAGTCCCTTTGAGGTGTGTTTTTTTTTTTTTCCCTTTTTATAACATAAATCAGCAGCTTCCATTAAGAACATGGACCCTGCATGTTTTCTATGTTCATTTTCTGAAAGCAAACCTCTATTTTATGGTCTTTCAGCTTGATGTGAAGTCATTGGAAAGACTGTTAAAGGAGAAAGTGGACTTTGGGAGGCTGAGGCAGGCGGATCACCTGAGGTCAGGAGTTCGAGACCAGCCTGTCCAACATGGTGAAACCCTGTCTCCACTAAAAATATGAAAATTAGCTGGGTGTGGTGGCGGGCGCCTGTAGTCCCAGCTACTCGGGAGGCTGAGGCAGGAGAATCCCTTGAACCCGGGATGCGGAGGTTGCAGTGAGCTGAGATCGCGCCACTGCACTCCAGCCTGGGCGACAGAGCCAGACTTCGTCTAAAAAAAAAAAAAAAAAAAAAAAATGGAGAAAGCAGAGGGTGAAATGTATTTTTTTTCCCCCTAAGAAGGTGGAGGTCTCTCGGTTTTGCTGATAAGTGCCACATCCTCCCAGATGCACGGAACCATCCTGGGACCCTCACCTGTGTGTCCTAACAGCTTCCTGGGCTCCTAGGGGATCCACCTGGCGGCACTGAGACTGAGGCTCTGCTGTGGAACTAACGCTGAGACGCTTCCCAGGGCCCCTGTCTCTCACAGGGGTCAGGAAGACGTGACCTTTGTCTCTCCCCAGAGGGTATCAAGGGAACTGGGGAGAGGGTAAAAGAGTGAGCTGCCTCGAAATGCCATCTGAGGGCATCAGCTGTGCATGGAGGCAGCAGATTCCTGGCAGTGGTTCCGGGTATCCTGACTCCGTGCATCTGTCAGAGGCTGGGGAATGTGCATTTGTTTAGAGGCTCCCAGCGGCCAGGCTGGGAGCTGCGCCTTGTGGGTGTTAAGACAGAGGGCTGTGGTCCCAGATGTGGGTCGCGTTGCCAGCTACAGCAGCTGTTTCAGAAGTAGACACTCTAGAAGGAAAACTGTCAATCCAGTTTCCCCAGGGTGTGTGAGCCGCGTCCTTGCAGCTGGAGGCGGGGGTGGGCAGGGGATGGGAGAATTGCCAGTTTCCCTAATTTTGCAGGGAGTCCACACCGAGACCCAGGAAAACAAAAGCGTCCCTGGGTGCTGTGAGCGATGTTCCTGCCGGCTGCTCTGCCATCTGAGAGTCAGAGTGAATTACCCACGTCAGCACCCAGGCAGGAAGCTCTGATCCATGAGCCGACACCGTCCCGCACCTGGGGACTTGTGTGTGTCCTGGAGGCCTGTGAGAGCGGTCAGCCTCCAGGCTGTGCAGAAGCCCCATGGAGGCTTAGTGGGGAGCCGGGGACTCCCGGGATGTGGGGACACACACTGAAAATCTAGCTCTAACTGGAATATTTACATGAAAGTAACAGCGAGTCACAGATTTGGGACTTTTCTGAACATTAAGTGTAAACTGTTTGGCTTATGGTACAATACACAGAACAGCTGAATCCATCTGTGGCTCCCCTGCATTTAGGAGAATTGCAGAGCTAAGACACGTCTTCCCACACACACCAAGACCCTGGGGCAGCCAGCTTCTCCTTCATCGGGTGGCGAGGAAAAATGTGGCAGTGGCTCCTTTTTCGAGAACACCGATGACATACCAGATTAATGCCCGGGCATGATGTTTGCAACTGGCTGAGGATCCTGTGATGCAGATGTTACGATTCCCACTTTATGAATAAAGAAGCAAGGCTCAGTGAGAGAGGCTGGGTGGGGGCCTGCACCTGAGCTCCCAACCCCGGAGGGTTCACCCACCTCCGCAGACCCTGTAACTTACTCCCAGCTCCAGGCTTCTCCCTGGGATCCGCTGAACAGGTGTACAACCCCCTATTCCAAATTCCAAAACCCGCAATGTTCTGAATCTCAAAAGGTTTTTTTTTATAACTCATTTGGTGGCAAAGGCTGAGCTAACTTGAGCTAACTTGGCAGCTCACCCCGAGCTGAACTGATGTAGGGCTATTCAGTGTGAATATTCTCATGTTTTGCTACAAGAAGACTAATGTTTTGATTACTAAGTGCTGGCCTGGCCCTACTGGAGCAGTTCCTTAATATACGATGTACCCCCAAGCTTGAGAAACACTGACTTCCTAAATCTATCTGGCCTCAGGGGTTTCAGCTAAGAGATCAGGGATCTGTATTTGTGTCTGTTTAAGATTTATTTATTTATTTATGTTTGAGCTGGAGTTTTGCTCTTGTAGCCCAGGCTGGAGTACAGTGGCACGATCTCAGCTCACTGCAACCTCTGCCTCCTGGGTTCAAGTGTCCTGCCTCAGCCTCCTGAGTAGCTGGGATTACAGGTGCCCGCCACCACACCTGGCTAATTTTTGTATTTCACCATGTTGGCCACCAGGCTGGTCTCAAACTCCTGACCTGAGGTGATCTGCCCACCACAGCCTCCCAAAGTGCTAGGATTACAGCCATGAACCACTGTGCCCGGCCTGTTTAAGATTTATTCTTCATCGGTTTTCTAGAGGCCTTGAGGTGGCTTACAAGGTAAAGCTCTGTGTAAACTAAAACAGAAGAAAAGAGAACAAAGATCATCTGAAAGAAGCCAAAGAAAGCTCCATGATTAGCCCCCGAATTGGGTTTGTTACCTCTTTAGAGACCAACTTGGAATCTAACCGTCCTGAAACTTAGGGAGAAATCACACGTATTGAAATACAGTGAAGGTATCACTTTTCTCAAGAGAAATTCACAGAATA